GACAACAAATATGGCTGACAAGTATGTAAATCAGCTTGGAAGCAGACCCTTCTCCAGTTGAGTCCGGATGAGGCCTGAGTCCTGGCCAGCACCTTGACAGGACCTGAGGCAGGTGACCTAGGTGAAGCATGCCCAGACCCTTGACCTGCAAAACTCTAAGTCATGGATATGTTTTGTTCTAAGCTGCGTGATTTTGTGATTGTTTGTTATGCAGCAATAGATAACTAATACAATACCATATCTTTATCTTGGCTTCATTTAAAATCAATTATATTTTCATAGAGATAACTCACAAAATGTAGTGTTCTTCAAAGCCTGGTAGAGATTTTACCCAAAATTGTATCAAATTATACCATATGGTAATGTTTATTCTGACTACTCTGAATTAAAAAATCTTAAAGGTTTAATATCATCAGCCAATATTAGATGATCAACCTTGAGCTTCATAGATACCACATTTTCCCAGAGAAAAGTTCTTGGGACTAATGGATTGGTTTGTAGAATTACTGTATTGGAGTCAGGTAAAGAGCAGGTTGCTTCAGATAGCTAATGGAGAGCCTAGTCCCAGACTAGGCTTTCATCCTACCAGAAGGAGATTTTCATGTTGCCTGTATTTCCCTCGGAATGATGTTTCTATTCAGTTATCTTGGTATATATTGACAACATACACTGTAGAAAAAATGAAGAGATCGTAACTCTATCTCTGAAAGATTTGTCGTTATTTGGTTTTCCTTTTTAATTATCAGTGTTACTAGGAGGACTCCTGCAAGGGCTTATAACAGCCGAGTTTCAGAAGCATCTGCTGCAGTGGCTGGTGCAAATCAGTAAAATCTTTCCTACATAAAAAGTATTAATTCTTGGGGCACCTGGGTGGCCCAGTCAGTGGAGCATCTGCCTTCGGCTCAGGTCATGATCCCAGGGTCCTGGGATCCAGCCCCACGTCAGGGTCCCTGCTCAGCGAGGAGTCTGCTTCTTCCTCTTCCTCTGCCTGCTGTTCCCCCTGCTTGTGTGCTCTCTCTCTGACAAATAAATAGATAAAATCTTTAAAAAAATTATTAAAATGTTATTTCTTTTTAAAATAATGTGTCACACTTGGAGCGCCTGGGTGGCTCAGTCGTTAAGCCTCTGCCTTAGGCTCAGGTCATTGTCCCAGGGTCCTGGGATGGAGCCAAGCATCGGGATCCCTGTTCGGGGGGAAGCCTGCTTCTCCCTCTCCCACTCCCCCTGCTTGTGTTCTCTCTCTCGCTGTATCTCTCTCTGTCAAATAAATAAAATCTTTAAAAAAAAATAATGTGTCACAAATCTTTCTTAGAGAAGAATTCCAAAATGTGTAAATACACCACCTTTAGAAGGTAGACTTAATCTCCCTCTCCTTGAGTGTGGTGGACCAGACTCGCTGACTTTCTCTCAAACAGGAATCTAGAAAGGGAAACAGAATGGCTTGCAGGGGAGAAACCTGGCCACATTCCCGGATCAGGTGGTTGAGGTGGGCACAACCAGCCGTGCCCTGGGGCCACCATAAAACCCCTGATGGGAAGTCATGAAAAGGCACCTCAGCATTATGGTCTTCTTCTCCCAAATCTACAACTCTACTCTATTAAAGGGAAAACATCAGACAGACCTAAGCTGATGGACAAGCTGAATAAGGCAGTATAGAAAACTAGATTGCATTTCGGAACAGAAAAATGCACATTAGTGTAAAAAAAAAAAAAAAAAGTAAAATCCAAATACATTTCATTGTTAGTTAGTAGTACTATATGAATATTATTTACTTCCTTTTGACAGATCTGACCTTGTTATATAAAAAATTACCATTGGGGGAATCTGAAAAAAATGGTACACTGGAAATCTTTGTAATAGCTTTGCAACTTTTTTTCTAAATTTAAAATTACTCCATAATAAGAACTTTAAAAATATTATGTCACTTTAGTTGCTTATACTAATTGAAATAGTGAGTAAAAATCCAAATTTTTTGTTTAAGATAAAGTATAAAACTCTAACTGCCTTGTCTGACTTAAACCTGTTTTAGTTATATATTTAGTATGCATAAAGAGTTTTTTTTTTAAATAACACTCTGCAACAATTTATGTTTAGTTTAGAGATTAACACAAAGAAAAACAGCAGTTTGATGTTGTGTCTCTAGACATACCTTCCTGAAAGGATTCTAGCCTTTTGGTTTTATTATGTTGAGTGAGAGGGCAAAGGAACTGTATTATCTGTTTAATAAAAGATCCGGGAGGTTTACAATTTCATTCTCTCATGCTGTTTCATGGGGATCTTCAGAACACTGCAGAATTAAGCACAAACCCAACAATGTTAAGAATTCCGACTGAGGCTAACCACAAATTACATAAATGAGACAATCCATTGAACACAGAATTCATTCACATTTTTTCTTTGTACCTTTCTTTTATTGACTGCTTCAGTCATGTATGGTTCTCATTGAAAAGGGCTAATACCTGTGGCTAGCAATCATCCATTTAGGCAGTTTTCCAGATGGCATCCTTGACCAGCAAGGAAATTTAAGAAACAGCCCACATAAACCACTTATTCCAATCCCAAAATCCCAACTTTTTTTTTTTTTTTTTTTGTTTAGAACCCAAGGCAAGTCTATTTCAGTGCCTGAATGGACTTTACTAACTGAGGCTTATGGGGCTTTGCATTCAGTTATGATCTTATGATATAGTTTAGTCGCCCTTGAATCTCTCTTTATATTGACTATCACAACATCCCCATGCTATGGAGCAGGTCAAAGCTGGAGGATGCCACCATGCTTTTCTTAAATAAAAACAAATAAAATGTATCATTGATTCTAACTTCCATATTGTGAGGGATAGTGAACACAAAGCCATGTCTCTTGTAAACCGCCCATCACCAAGCACTTATAATTATGTCAAGTAGTAACTATTGAGAAGAAAATCTATAATTACATTGCTTTAGACACACTTATTTTTTAACCTTAGTGAGGTATCATGGACATGTAAAATTGTAAGGTATTTGAAATGTAAGTCATGGTGATTTGATAAACGTATACATTTTGAAATGATCTTCATCATTTAGTTAATTAACACATTGATCACCTCATATATTTACCTTTTCTTTCTTGATGAGAACATTTAAGTTCCACTAGTCTCTTAGTAAATTTTAGTTATACAATACAGTGTTATCACTATATACACCATGTCTTCCATTACCTCCTCGGAACTCTGTCATCTTAGAGCTGAAAGTTCCTAACTTTTTACCAACCTCTCCTTGTTGCTCCCACCCCAGCCACAAGAAACCACTTTTCTATTCTATGTTTCTAGGAGTTTAACTTTCTTTAACAGTCCATGTGTAAGTGAGGCCATGCAGTATTTTTCTTTATCTGTCTGACTTACCTCACTCAGCATAATGCCTTCAAGGTCCATCTGTGTGGTTGCACATGGCATGATTTCCTTCTTTCTCATGGCTGAATAATATTCCATTGTATGTGTATGCATGTGTGTGAGTGTGTGTGGTGTATCACATCTTCTTTACCTCTTCATTCTTTGAGGAGCTCTTAGGTTGTTTCCGTATGTTGGCTATTGTAAATAATGCTCCGATGAACATGGCACTGTGGGTATCTCTCTGATATCCTGTTCTCATTTCCATTAGATACATACCCAGAAGTAGATTTCTGGTTCACGTAGCATTTCTATTTTTAATTAATTAATTTATTTTTTTAAAGATTTTATTTATTTATTTGACAGAGAGAGACACAGAGAGAGGGGGAACATGAGCAGGGGGAGTGGGAGAGGGAGAAGCAGGCTTCCCGCGGAGCAGGGAGCCCGATGTGGGACTCAATCCCAGGACCCTGGGATCATGACCTGAGCCGAAGGCAGATGCTTAACGACTGAGCCACCCAGGCGCCCCTCTATTTTTAATTTTTTGAGGAACCTCCATACAGTTTTCCACTGTGGTTGTGCCAATTTACATTCCCACCATAGTTAGACACATTTAAATTCGTCAAGTTTAAAAAAATAAAAATAAATAAATACAAGAAGATTATAATATTCAGCAATTTTGAAATTTTAGTTGAGGTACAACTAAAAAATTATAGCATCCAGTAGTAGTATAATTGTGGAGATTAAACTTTTTTGTGTGCTTTTTAGTTCATAATTAAGTGATTGGACTTAGAGATGTATTTTAAGGATTTTACCAGAGATTATTGGATTTAGAATCATTGTGCAGAATAACAATAACTTTAAATGACCTATTTAACTCTTAGATAAAGGCCTTATTCTCTAGAGTAGATGGTTTCATAAGCCCTTAGGCACAAAATTCAATAGACCAAGGAAATAATAGATTCAAACATATACATTGACATAACTGATGGATCTGACAGTCTTTCACATCATTTTTTCTATATTTCTTTCCAAAGTCTTAGAAGTAAATTGAATACTTTCCTGATTGTTGAGTAAGGCTTTAGAAACCAAGATCGTGCCCTATATTTGCAGTTAAATTTTAATGGCCCATTTCATTAGAACAGTATATGTCTATTGATTCTAGCCCACTGCCGCCCACCAGCAAATGAGACTCTGCGTTGGCTGAATCAGGGCCACCTCTGTTATGAGTGTCCTCATAGCAGGTGCCCTGACTTCACACTCTCACACTGAAGAATATGTCCTAACGAATGGCATAAACCTTCACAAACACACATCTAAGTGTTTTTTTAATTATTTGTGTCACAAAATTATGATAACTTGAGTCTATGGAGATATGCCCCTTGTACAAAACATTTCATAGAGTGTGTGTTTCTTAAGGACCCTCTTTTCGGTCCATCATATGAAACCCCAGACTGTCTTAAAATGGTACTGATGTGTTTAACTGACTCCTCCTGGTGAGAAGCATTTGTAGTTAAGACATGCTGCACCCCTGTTCTTTCCTGTTGAGACAGAGCATAAAAAAGAAAGCAAAGAGAAGTCATTATATTAGAATCAGGGAAGTAGCCTTATGGTACCTTAAATAGCTTGATTAGAATCCTTTAAGCTGCTTCCAGGTGGGTTTTCCTTTTGTGCTCCTACAAAGTTAGAAAGACTGTTAGAAACAGCATTCCTGTTAACATGCCTGTCACAATAGTCTTGTCAGGTTTCAGTGGAAATGCACAGATTATTGGAGCGAGTGCTCTAAGAACACCCAGATGGGCCCCTCCTGCCCCGTTCTGGGTGGCTGATAATCAAAGCAAGGAGTGGGGCGAGGTGGGAGGCACCCATGGTTTGTCCAGGAAGTCCCGGAGATAATCTCTCTGAACATTCTGAGGGTCAAGCACAGCCTTCAGCACCTTCATACACAACATGGCCTTGGAGGGGATATTGGAATAACAAAAGGAGATTAGCAGCAAAATTAATGACATCTGAACACATTCTGGAATTTAATTCAGAGTAATGGATCCCTGTCGGTTCCCCAGTTGTGACAAACGTTCCCTGATGAAGTAGAACGTTAACAATGGGGGACACTGGGTGCATGGTATGTGGGAACTCTCTATACCATCTTCACAACTTTTCTGTAAATCTAAAATTATTCTAAAAGAAAGAGTTTACTCAAGAAAACAACCCCAGGAAGTTTCCATGGTATAGAAAATGCCACAGAGAACACCACACTGTTCAGGCTGTCACACAGGGAGATGGTGGGACTGTGTAAGACTGTCCAAAATCCTCTCCCAGGCATCAAATAAATAAAAACCTAATTACGGTTATAAATTATGCTGGCCCCTCCACTGAAACATCTAGCCTATCAAAAACCAGGAGCAACAAAACTCAGTGTTGTCCGCCATGATAAACACTGTCTATACAACATTGGGAACAAAAAATGGTGATATCCATAAACTCAGAAATGTAAATGGGCATTCACTAAATATTCAAGTTCAGTCTTGACAAAGCCACCTACTGGTTTAGTTATTAGGGTCTATAAATTTGATTGCACTTGAGAAGTAAGTAACCAATTTAGAACGCCCCTACAGTAGAATTTTGTTAAGGATCAATGGCCATGTAGATAGTGCTTTATCTCGAAGAGGTCCCTGCTCCTCCCCAGGCTTTATCTGTTCCATGAAGAACCATTTTACTGATAAGAAATGCCAGAAGACTAGTGTGTTCCTTCATTAGAAGAACCATTTTACTGATAAGAAATGCCAGAAGACTAGTGTGTTCCTTCATTGTTTATCACAAACTTACTATATATAAGGCAATATGACCACTGGGAATGCAGAGATTAATAAGAAGCCTCCTATCCCCGTGGAGCAATTAGTCCGGTGTGCAAAGGAGACAAAGAACATGACAAATCTCAGGACAGCAGAAGACCCAAGATGTGCTATTAGGTCACATTCACAGATGAGTTACCTTCGTGCCAAGAAAACACACCAGTGTCCACGTCATGAGCAATAGTACACCATTCTGATCTGAAATGAAACAATTCGGGCTGTAGACATGGGCTAAATCTCAGTTTTTCCTCATATTAGAAAAGACTGTAGTTGTCTTTTTCAGCATATTGTCAAAACAACAACAACAACAACAGCAACAACAACAACAAAACCAAGGCAAGTTGGTCGTCACAAAGCATGTTGAGTCCTTCGAATGAATGAAATGGTAAAACTTGCAGCCAGTTTTTCTCTTGGGTAATAGTGTTTATAATATGCATTTCACACTAAGGACTAGATTTAAAAATGACGATTTTGAAAATAATAAGAGCTAGAGGAGGCTGCACTTCATACATGAAACATTATTATGCTGTTTGGCTGTCTGAAGCCTGGGGTGATCATAATATCCTTTAAATGTTTGATGTGGGTTTTAAGAGCTTCTGGTAGAAGGCATCGATCCAACCAAGAAATTTTCATAATGAAGTTGCTCCCCAGCCTGGGATTTCTGATGCCGGCCAGTCAGATTATGGGCAAGAATGTCACCCACGTCAGCCACAGCTTCTCTCTTTCTTTTCTTTTCATCCTGGTGGTATTTTTTGCTGAACCTAAACCGATAATAATGATCTACTTACACAGCCTGTTCTGTATATCTGTCATATTAAAGTCGAGGCTGTTTGTTTATCATACTGTGATCTATAGCTTTCTATTAATTTAATTATACTAAAAGATCTTAAAAGCCTTAGGCTAAGTAACATGTCAATTAGAAATGAGTTTAACTTGAAATAAATATACATTTAATACTTGTAATTTATTGCTTTAAATACAAACAAAGCCCTCACTATGACACAATCTATTATTAATTGCTGCAATGTCCGCAGTCCAATTAAGTCAATCCATTTATATTTTCTTCAGAGAAAGTCAATGTTCATTTCTCATAGGAAGTACTGGATGCCTACATTTTTCCTTTCTCATAAACCGGTAATGCCGCAAAGGACTTTTGTGCGCAATGAGCTCAGTCCCAGGTGAAGGAAGAAGAGGAGGGTAGAGGGGGAGATAGATGGAGCCAGGAGCGAGGGCTCATAGCTCTCAAAAAAAGTAACACCCAGACCAATGTAGGGCTCATATAAGTGTTTTCAAATAAAATATGATTAGACTCTATTACGGACTAATTAACTGCCCTTTTACAAATGCTCTTAACTTGTAGTAAATGCGGTTCCGGTATATATCTCAAACTACAATACTAGTATGTTTTCAGTAATTACATGTGGCCTAGAAACAGCTCGACTGCTGGCTTTACTTCAGCATGCGTATGAAAAGTCACACATAAAAACGTCAGTCTCTGTGTTGAGAAAAGATAGTTAATGCCTGGGGTCACATTTTATGGTGAAAGTTATAAATCCCTGAGAAATAATATTTATAGTGGAAACCTTGACACAGTATTTTATGCACTCATGCTATCCACAAAAGAGAGAATTTAGGAGTTTAAAATTTTGAATGTGTGAAACTATAAACAAATATATTCAAAATCGCTTTCAATGTTTTCTATGTTATTCTGAGCACGCCCCTGCCCCAACACAGCAGAGAATTCTTCATCCCTTGTTTGTGATGTTCAAATGAAAATTGCCATCTAAGCGTGGTTTATTTATCTCACCTATTTGTCATGAAAGTGATTCTGCTTTTCTATCAAATAATCCAAATGTTAGCTATGCTTTGCAACGTGACGGGTACCAGGTTTCTCTAAAATCTCAGAGCTCAACAGAGCCTCTGTTCTGTGGGACGTAAATTGGAGTTTTAGTTTGTATATGAGAGGCATCCGAAGTACTCCTGCAGCAAATCACTGCAGTGTTCAGGAGCGCAGGCTCTGGGGTGTCCTAGTCCTTAATCAAGGACCCTAACATTCATCTGGAAATGATGCAGCCGTCCCTCTCATAGTGCGGCGCGAGGCATGGTGGAGACAGCCACGTGCGGTGCCACAACGAAAAGAAGCACTCAAGACGCCACAGATCTCATTAGTCTAAACAAGTATTCACATCTCACTGGTATTGGGAGACCCCAAAGGTGGTATATGCAGGTTTACCAGGTTACAGATGGGCTCAGATGTGCAGTTTTTGCAGGTCTTAATCTGAGGTTCGTGTTCAATTTACTGTCTCAGATCTAATTCGCGAAAGAAGAAAGAGTCCATCAGGGTATCCGGATGGAGGACAGCTCCTATCCTCCCCAGGTTAATGTTCCACCTGCTTAAGTATTAATTTAATATCTCCAACTACAACCTAGATGATAAACTCTTTTTTAAAAAAAATCCCCAAATTGGGAAAACATCTCAGAGTATGGACAAAACCTCAGTGATTTAAACCGAGATTCAATAAAAAGGCAGAAGCAACATTTTGTTTCCTGGGCTCTCAGAACCTGAACAGAAATATCTCGGATGTTCAAATTTTACCAGCGAGAAAAGGCTCAGGTCTTTCTGTCGGCATGTGATGATGCCTGGATTTTACAACTTAATGACATGTGCATTAACCCATTTCACATATCTGATTGATATATACATACGAAAAATTAGTCACTTCCACAAGGTTCTATATTACATGCTGATTATAAGATGAGTATTTTGATGGCAATATTTCATGCACATGAAATATCTGAATTTTAAATCTCAATGGAAAGATATTTCTTGCATTCATCATTGTGTTAGATTTTATTAGATTTTGTGTTTAATGTGCATGGAGGCGACTGTATTTCTCTCCTGAGGAGGAGAAAGAAGCTATCCTTATGCATGTGGACCGTGGACTAAACAGGATGGGTTCTCAGAATCCTCCTTCCATGGATTCTGCAGGAGAGCCTATCTGTGTGTCTGGTATTAGTTGTTTAACATAATGGATCTATAAAGAAATAGGTCAATTGCTTTGGAATGTGTGCTACTGTATGTATTTCATTATTGAGGAAGTTACCACTGAAAGGGAAAAAAAAATCCCAAAATGGGGTTTTAATATTGCTAGGACATAGATACACGGTAGGGAAAACCCAGTTGCTCATCTACTAATTATATACTTACTGAGAGTCTGCATTCTCTAAGTGTAGAAATATGGCCATGTTTATAAAAATTAGATTATATAAAATTTATACACAAAGTATAGGCAACGTGTATAAAATAGAATAAAATAATAAATTTCAAAACATTACATTTACATGTCTAATTAATTTTGAAGTGCTTCAATTTGGTTATTATTTTAATGAGGCTAGAAGTTTATTATTCAATAAACTCTTTTACTATTAGAACAACCGCTTGCCTAGAAACAAACGTTACAAGTGGAATAGTGTGGTTATAATGAGCCATTACCTGCATATTCACATTTATCCACACTGAGAGTTATACGTCCCCTTATAATACGCTTGAGAACCAACCCCAAGAAAGAACCACGTGACAGCTTCCTGTTCAACCCTCCCAAGAACACCGAGAATGTAGCTCATCCTTCCCAGGTACCCAACTGGGGAGAGAGATGATTAATTCAAAGCATGCTGGCCTTGGGATGGAACTGAGATTTGAATCTGATCTCTCTGACCACAAAGCCTGAATGTTAGCTACTGGGCTTGTCTGCCCCTACGTCTGAGTGGACATGGTCTTTAACCACTATGGCTACTGGCCCAAACATCAGGGCACACACAGACAGACAGACAGACAGACACACACACACACACACACACACCCCACACACACCCACATGCAGGCGCGCGCACGCACGGCAATCAACACTCACAATGTTTTCCTTTTTTTTCTGCTTTTGCTTCTAATGTTTAAAGTCCAGTCTTATGTTAAAAGGCTATAAATGTTTATCCAACTTGCCAAATCCAATCTTATCTAAATTGTGATTTTCAAATTCTGCCTTATAGTGAAAATCACAGGTGTTGTGTTATTTGGGTATAAAAACACACTCTTATAAAATGACCTGCAGTAATTTATGAAACTATTGTATCTGCCCATTGATAGTCTCTTTGAATTTGTTTATAAATCTCCCCCACCCCTCCAAATCCACATAATTACATATGCATCTAAGAACGCACATTTTATTTTTCTCTCTGTGAATTAGATATGGTACAGTGTGTATGAGATGAATGCAAACCTGGGCTAGTCTATATCAGAGAAATGGAATTGAGCAAGGAGACAGGGAAGTCAGGGAGCCTGACTGCACAATAAAATATTCACAAAGGAAAGCCCACAACCACAAATAATTGAATTAAGCAAGAGTGATGCCGATAGGGGCATTGCCTGTGGATTAATGGTCATCTGGGGGAGTTGATCGTCCAGGGTGACCATCAATCCCCCAGAAAATGCCCTACGCCAAGGTCATTGTGGCTGTAAGAACCCCCCCTTTTTTTTTTGCCATAGAGGTTTAAAAAATCCTTCATTTTATTTGATTTCAGGCATTATCATCCTTCCTTCAGGTGGCTGTGTGAGGGATGATTTTGAATGGTGATATTTCTGAATCATTGATCTCCAAGGCAACCACCAACCAAACACGTTTTTCTAGTGTGGAATGGTTTATCCAGGCTGAGTAATATTTCAGAGTTTTTTGAACCATGAAAATTTAGTAAAGGCTTAAATAAAATTTGTGCTTTGTCTTAGATCAAAACTCTCTTGCAAAAGACCTTATAAATCATATATTCTTAGTTTTCATCAGCATTCATAATGGAATAAAGATACAAATCACAATGATTAAGAAGACTGTGGAGGAAATTGATTTGGAATATGTGAATTTAGCTCTCATTTGCAGTAACACCAAAATTTATAGTATAAATGACATGATGAGATGTGGTCAATTAGGGACATAATTAAATCTGTCTATATTACCCCTCAAAAATACTTATGAATAAAAGTATGTAATGACTTTTTAAAATCCGAACTTTGTGTAATTGAATTTTTCTAAGTTATTACTTACCAAGACAAATGTATTATCTGTGAGCAACATGTGTGTTATTTATTCACTTGCAAACAAATAATGGGATAAAAAGAACATTATAAAAAAAAGTGAGGATGGGGGCGCCTGGGTGGCTCAGTCGTTAAGCTTCTGCCTTCGGCTAAGGTCATGATCTCAGGGTCCTGGGATCGAGCCCCACATCGGGCTCCCTGCTCCGCGGGAAGCCTGCTTCTCCCTCTCCCACTCCCCCTACTTGTGTTCCCTCTGTCGCTGTGTCTCTCTCTGTCAAATAAATAAATAAAATCTTTTTAAAAAAAAGTGAGGATAAAAAATAAATTGCTACTGGTAAAATTAGGTCAGAGTTTAGACTTTAACAGATGGGATTATATATATTTTTTATTTGGAATTTTCATTTGAATTATTGTGTTCTAAAACTTTATACGTCGGGTACACTTTATATGCCCTCTCCAATTCTCTTGGCCTCAGAAGTCCACTCAGCTCTCCTTGCTTTCCCAACTATGCCCATCAGCATGGGGCTGGTGGCCCCGACAGCACACTGAGCCTCTAGCTTGCCGTCTGGGTGACTGCCAAAGACACCAGATGAGGCCGCCCAGGAGTGTGGAAGAGTTAGCTCCCCATGGAGCAAACACCGAACAAGGGGATTCCTGAGGAAGAGGCAGCTAACTAGATCAAATCCTCTCCATTCCTCCCTCCAAGTTACTGGTCTGCTAACAGGCTGTTTTTGTCCAAGGTGTTGACCTGTACTCAGCATCTCCTGGTGTCCCCATCACTCCTTCCACGCCTCACTTCCCTCTGACCCCAATCACACATCCTGCTCACTACAATTCTTAGTCAAGCGGTGGTGCTCATGTCTCTTCCCTACGGATCCCAGGATGAGACAGTTTATATTCAATTATGAAAACTTAAAGCAACATGGTGCCAATGCCATCTACATGTGCCTAGTTTTGACGTATGGGCTATTGTTTTCCCATCAGTTGATACTTTATTTGTTCAGAGTTACTGATTTTCCTTATTCATACTCTATTTATATCCAGATATTAGGCAAAGCTCAAAATGTGTTTATTTGGCTGATTAAATTATAATTGACACAGTACGTGTTCAATTTATTGCTCTGTAATTTTTATCTCCATTAGTTTTCAATACCTTAGGTGATATGGGGCTGAATTCTTTCTGTCCATATTTATCTCTGCTCCTGTATTCTCTGGCTTCTATAGCTTTCTGGATAAAGCGGTGTTGTACAGACACTTCTAGTGGATTTTCTAATACCTTTCTCCTTCTCATACTTTAACAGAATCAGATTTAATTAATAATGGCACTATGTCTTGGCAGCATACACTCCATCCTGGACTTACTTGCAGGTGGAGGACCCAATGAGTTACCAGTGAAGTTGCTGGGGTGTTGGCTGGTGAACCTCCACTTTCCCCAGTGACCCTGACCTACACAGTCCAATCCTCCTCTACGTTCTGTGCCTCAGGAGCTGACATGTGGGGGAGTTCACCATCCATCAGTTTTTGGTGTTGGTCAATGGGGAGCTCAGGAAGATGAGAAAGACAGAGAAAGGGAGAGACAGAGAAACAGAGGCAGAGAGGGAGACTAGAATAGAGCCTAGTGAGATGGGACCTTTATTTCCCTGGCTCCACCCTTGAGCTGAAGGTCCCAGTTCTTGTCCAACAAACAACCCTTGCATTTACTCCTCTCTGTTTCCAAGACTCCATAATTCCCCGTTGGCCATTTTACTCTCAGGGAAGATCTAGATTAAAGACTGACAGATATGCCCATCCCTTAAAGATGTGGATGAGTAACTATGAAGACCTATCCAAGTCCAACAATATCATCTCTTCACATTTGGAAATCATTATTTCTTCTTATTTTATCACTCTTTTTTTAAGATGTCATTAAAAATCAAGCCATTTCATATGTTCATCACTTCAACTTTCATCTTCTAAACTGTGGTTACTCAGCATGTTTTCTAAAAAGCACACTGTTTTTCAAACTTCCCCTGGGGAGTAAAGACCATCTATTTCCGGGTGGAGTGATGCCTGATGTGTATTTCTCATATCCTTGTGGCCCTGGTGCTCAACCTTCAGAAGCTTATCTGATCATATCTGATTTAGGTTGCCCCTTTAAAGTTAATTTAAGGTATTACACTGTTTTGGTTTGTTTGTTTGTTTTTTAATGGAGCTTTCTTTGGCAGAACTCTGCCTGTTTCCATGAAGACTCTGCAAGTGTCCTGGTCTGTTGAGGTCACTTCAGGAGTCTTTAAAGGGAAAAGATGGGATGCTCTGCCCATTTCACAATAAGTTATTTTCTTCTGCTATTTTTAAAAGGCAAATTGGAGCTGGATAGTAGCATCATATTCAGGAATCTACACATAGGCTGAGAGTATTCAACTCATAAAATCTTCAACATGAGGGCAAGTTTGTAGAACATGGATAATACCACACAATGAGTAACAGTGAACACTCCCCCCCTCAAAGTTCACTAACTTTTTTGCCATATTAATCTAGATTTATCTACTGAAATATAATTTCACATTAAAAACTGATAATCAAAATTGGATATGCCCAAATTTCCATATATTCCCCATCTACAACCATCTTATTCTTTTCTTTGCACAATAATAAAAATACATATGTGAAATTAAAATCAGGAATGAGAACCCCAGGTTAAAGACAACAGGTGCTTCCACTTACCGGATATGGAAGAACAAAGCACTCTCATTTTGTCCTGTGTCTTCAGGAAGGTCCCTAAACAATGCCTACTACAGTTCTGTGGCCTGGATCATGTCATCTTTAAAAATCATAATAATTACGTAAAAACCAACATTGTTCTGATTCTTTGCTAGCATGCTCTACTGTATCAGTGTTAACAAAATACTGCTAATCTCTGAGCAATTTTCCTACTAGTACCCTTACATGAAATATGCTTATTTAATAGAACACCATCCAGGGTGTTCTAATTTATCACATTAGTTTCACATGCTAACAATTGTCAACTTGTACTAAAATATACTGTGGGAATATATTATGGAAGCATGTTTTGCAAGGATTTCAACATCCATGCCATTGAGTACACTCATTTCTTTTTTTAACTTGTAAAATAATAAGGCTATTGTAAACCTCCTCCATTTAACCATCTGTCTTGGCATAATCTTTAGCTGCCAAAGATCCTTTAAAGGATGAACAGCTACATGTTAAAGAATGGTGGAATCTTAGTTCCTTTTTTGCTTTCTTGGGAGCAATGGGCTAGTCACTTCTCTACTCACCCACGCTGCATCTTGTCAAAGAAAATGACAAGGAAAACAAAGCAAAGCAAACAGCAAGCAGACAATTGAAAAGTGGACGTTGTAAGGGAGGAGGGGTTGACACAGCTGTAGTATAAGGGGTGGCTATTCATGTGAGTATAAAAAGTTAAGCACTACAGAAATCTTTTGCAGAGCTCTTGGCGGGGTACTTACTGGGTATATGAGTTATTCTTTTAAACAAGCGATCTGGGAAGAAACTCGTCCTCTGGATCAGTGCATGCCATATCATGTGTAAAACCATGTTAAGCAATTGTGGTGCAAGACCGAGTTAACACAGAAGCTGTCCCTGAGGGAGAACACGCCTTTGGCCCAGATGTGCATTCAGTCTTTGGCCAACAGAGTTGCAGAAAGGTCCTCTTCCAACACCAAGGTCAGGACTCTGTCTACTTTCTCAGACTGTAGGGGGCTGTTCACGCTGAGGCTGTGTCTGAACGTGGACCAGGTCACCAAACTGGGTTTACCCATCCCCACTGAGTCCACGCTTGCAGCCAATCTCCTCCCACTGACTGGATCCCCTCTCCATTCTATCCTCCACCACCACCCCTATATGGCCTCCTTTATGCACTTAATTATTTATACATTCACCCAACCTCTTATCAATGGCTTTATAAGCCCCCACTGAGCGCCCCCCACATTCCAGGTGAAGGGGCTACCAGGAAGGTCTGAGCTCTGGTGAGCCTTACATTCTAGGGGAGGAGGAAGAAAGCAAGGCAATAAAAACACATCAGTCTGAAGGGAAAGGAGCAAATATCACCATGAAGATGGTTGGCAGAGGGTGGCATGCAGACAGTGACGGGCTGGTTTCCACAGATCAGGAGCCATGAAACGCCCTTGGAGAAAGTACATTGTGACCTGAGATGTAGGTACAGAGAGGGATGGGGGAAAAGGGGCTCAGTCCACAAGCTAGGGTGTGCCTCCTGTGTCCCTGGGAAGAAGACCCAGTCCCTGGGCAACAGGGGCACAATGTGCTGTCGTGGCTCAAGGCCGGAACCAGGTCATGAGCGGTTTCTGTTCTGGGAAGATCATGCGTGGAGGGAAAAGGGAAGCCATTTGGGGGGGGTTCAAGCAGGGGAATGACAATGTGAGTTGTGCTGCAAAGCAATTGTTCAGTTCCTGCAGAGGAGGATGAAGGGGACCAATCATGAAGACACCTCTTAGGAGACTTTTGCTGCCACATGAACTGAAACGTGGTCTGCACTTCCTACAAAGTGTTAGCAAACCTTTCTCAACTATCACTCATGAACTTGGAGAAAATGAATGAAAACTGGGCAATGGAGCCTGGCAATTTTTATTTGATTTTCTTTGTAAAAACATGATAGAAAATATATTTTCAAACTTTTATTGTGTTTTAGTAGCTGGCAAAAATTAAAAAATGAAAACAAAACAAAACAAAACTTTTCTGCATTACTTTCTACTTTATTTTAGAAGATAATTTGAATTTGGGGCAAAAAAACCCAAAACATGTGTGCCTAAAAATCTCTCCTTGAGGAGAGCTGGAAGACATGAGAAATAACCATGAGCACCCCAGAGAGAGGATGTCTTGCCAGGTCCTTGCCTTCCTACACCCTGGCAAAAATCTATTCTGATTCTTCAGATGTTTAGTTGATTGTTCAAGTCACATGATGTTCTTTTTTGGCTCTTCTCCATTCTCGTGCGTTTGTGTTACAAGTGACATGGAAACCCAGAGCTTTCTCAGGGGGTCACCCTTGTGATTTTCACGGTGTGGTTATGAAAGTGTTGGTGGGGCTGGTGGTAACATTTCCTACACTGACTTCAGAGCTCATGTATATTTTCTGAGGGAAACTCCTGCTCTTACCTTGTGAAGAGTGTACCTATACCAACAAGAAAATACAGATCTTAACATACATAGATAGCCTACAATGCCATTTCTTTCTCGAATGCACTAAAATTCTTGTCTTGAGCTAATCTTCTTCCTTGAATGAATTGGCAAACAGACAGAAGTAACATTAACTCAGGACCAAATGTCCAACAGATATATCCATGTGGATACATCTGTGAACTCACATTGCAATTAAGATTCAGAAAAGAGGGCGCCTGGGTGGCTCAGTCGGTTAAGCGACTGCCTTCGGCTCAGGTCATGATCCTGGAGTCCTGGGATCAAGTCCCGCATCGGGGTCCCTGCTCAGCAGGGAGTCTGCTTCTCCCTCTGACCCTCCTCCCTCTCATGCTCTCTGTCTCTCATTCTTTCTCTTGCAAATAAATAAAATCTTAAAAAAAAAAGATTCAGAAAAGAGATAAACATTCCACTTATATTTGAGAATACTGTGGCATAACCACTATGTTTACATTTTCAAGTAATTTTTTTTTTTTAAACAAATTTAGCCAAGACTCTGCATCTACTTGAGCAAAAAAATCTTGCTTTTAAACTCATCTATTTTCATTGGGCTTAATAAAGAAAAAAAGATCTGGCTTTGTCTGCAAAGGAGCTATCTGCCAATTCTGTGGCTGACATTTTTTTAAAACAATAAGAAAAAAGATAATTCAGGACAGAACTACTTCACTTTGTACTACAAAGTCTTTAGTCTATGCTATGTTTTTTTTTGGTTCACGTTTGGTTCTTTTGTTTATTTAATCCTTAATTATTTGCACTAGTTTCTTAACCGTCCAACCATCATGGACTTGTCCTTATGTTGATACTTCCTGCCAACTGTTTCACACATGGAGAGTATTATTAGGAATGATACTCTAAATTTAATGCACAGCTACAACTGTTTTGCTTTCATTATGTGTGGTAATATCCATAAATAGATGCTTCATTGTTGGCACTTACTGGTTTACTCTCCCCATGTGCATTGCCTAATTATGGCTCTCACTTGAATAATTTGGCAAATGCTTGTATAGCATCTTCAATTAAAAATAAATAAGGTAGAAGAATGTTCTTTCTGTACTCTACAGCTTTAAAAAAAATGAATGTTATCCTTTAGATCTATTAAAGGAACTGTTCCAAATCTTCTCCTTCCAACATAATTTTTCTTAGGGCAAATTAAAAATGTGTGGTATCTGATCCAAATAAATGTTATGCCTTTCAACCCCCACACTTCCTATTGCATAAACTTCCCCAAACAATCGTTCCGCACAGTCTTACTAAGCACGCAGACCCAGATAACCCCACTTCTGTTCCTGGGCTGCACCTTGCAGGGCTGAGCAGGGGTCACTCGTGGTGTCTTCAGACCCCTCAGTTGGGAGCACAGGTCCCCTGACTTATGACCCCTCATGGGCCCAGTTGTCTGGGGCTTGAGAATAGATGGAAACTAACCCAACTCTTTTCTAAGATGACATTTGAAAACACGATCCCGTATGCCCACCGTGTCTCAGTCCATTTGGTGATACGCTCCAGAGCGGCGATATCGAGGTCATCTTCAATGTTAATTAGAAATGTACTTCATGAAGTATTATTATTTTTGATAGACTCAGGGTTTTACTGATGTTTGGCTTTAATAGAAGGGCAATAAAAGGGCTATGGTCCTAAAACTTTAAAATGTTACATCGTATGGAAGCTTTGAACATTAATAAGCAATAGAATCTAAGTGTCCTAAATTCTGCAGTCAGAAAAATAAAATGAGCGATGGTGTTTTTTATTTTACCTGAAAACAAAGCAAAACAAAACATATGAGAAAGTGGGAGAGAGTAGAATGTAAAAAGAGTTCTATCCTTTTCTCTGTGAAATGAAATATTCTGGGCACATATAACCTTTTGTTCATTTTTATAATCGTGTCTCTCATGTTGCACTGGGAGTGCTGGTGTTAACGATAGAAAGATCAAAAGGTTCTTGGAATCTGACTCATAGGAGCCAGAGAGCCCATCCACACGTAACATTTCCGTAATTCCCCCCACAGCACTGTACTCCTCAGAAAAGCAGCTTTTACCACCTGGCTGAAGTCAAAAGTTCAAGGTGATTAATTCACTTACTACGTGGAGAATTGATCTGCATTTTGGCGTGTCCTATTGTGAAGGAGCAGAGGTCTTATGATCACAACAGGCCAGGACCTGCGGAGGCAGGCCTAGAATATCGATCCACCCCACGGGCGAGTTCACTTGCCGCGCACTCAAAGGGTTGCGGGGCCAAAGTCCCAGGAACCTGGCCTCTCAGGGCACAGGGAGGGATGCACAGAGTTTCCTGGATTATGTGCAGGACGCAGAATTCCAGAAATCACATTTCTGCAGAACCATCAACTTAAAAACCAGTTTCACTTTATCAAAGTAAGTAAATTTGGGCCTATGAAACTATGGCCCAAGGAATGCAACAGAGAAGCAAGTATCGGAGGAGGTGAAGCAATCAAGTCGAATTTCGTTATGCTGTCTTTAAAAGTCATTTTTTTCTTTGTTACTGATTTGTGAGATTATGGTTTGTCTCAACACTTTAATTCAAGGTAAAAGATGCCCTCAGTCACGGATGCTGACTTCTCAGCTGCCATATGAAAGATGCACGCCTTGCGCAACACGATGGTGAGGAATGTCTTCCGAGTGTGCTTTTCAACAGAGTCACTGATTCTAGTTTCTAAACTCAAGGTAAATCAAATTTTAAGCTAGATGGTTCTAAGCAAAACTTCAAAGTACTTTTTAAATCGAGAGGTTTCAGAAGCACATTAACGAGACAGTGTGGCGTTTAGGTCTGAGTGGGGAAGACCTAGATGCTGGAGCCATCTGCCCTCAGATTTGCTCCTGGGTTTAAAGACCTAGAAATAAAACACGTGGCTTGTTTAGGGCTAGCTGCATAGAGCGGACACTTAAATATGTACTAGTTACTTCTGGTAGTGACACCAGTGTGCCTAAATGCTATGTCCTCTCTCTTTTGGACTTATTCTTATTCAAGAATCCAAGAGGAAGCCCATTAGTAAAAATCAGAGCTGACATGCGTTGAACATCTGTGTGTCAGGCAATGGCCCAAACACTTCAGATATATTATTTCAAATTAATTCTCACACCAAACAGATGAAGTAATTACTACCTTTATTACCAATTTGGAGGTTAGAAAATTGAGTGGGGAGCCCGATTATCTTGCACAGAAAATATGCATCAGAGACAGGGATTGAAGGCAAGCAAATGGGCTCCAGAATTTGCATTCTTTGTAACTACATTACCCTATGACATTCAGAAAATCATCTAAGGCTGAATTAGATTTTTAAAATTAAATTTTAAATAGATAATGTATTGGCTTGATTTTTTTAAAACAATGTATGATATTTATTAGTA